GCACCCGTGGTCCTGGTCCCATCTGTCAGAGGGAGCCAGGCAAGAACAAAGGCCTAGTGTGCCCAGGACAAAGGAGAAAGGTCCCGCCGGCCCTTGCCCCTCCCTGGGCCCTGGACTCGCCCCCTCGGGACCGCCACTATGGAAACCCCCTCCCACACTCACTAATTGCCCCCCTGGGTGGCTGGGGCGCCTGGGACGTGGGCCGTCGCCAGGACGACAGGGCTGGTTCCGACAACAGGGCTGTGTCCCTGCAGTGCCCACTCCGGGTGCCTGCCCCCTCCCTCGGCGGCTCCCAGCGGGAGGTGGGGCCCGCGCTTCAGGGGCACGCTGTCAGGTGGAGTGTCAGTCTGCACGTCCCAGCCGCTGGGCTGGAACCCTGCCGTGGCCACCTGTCAGAGTCTGTTTGGAATGTTCCAGTGACAGGGCCACAGGCTGCATGGGTGAGGTGCCTGCCAGGCCCTGGGTCCCAGCAGACCTATTATCCACTCCCAAGGAGCCGATCTCCTGGAGGCAGGAATCATGGGGGTCTAGCCCCTTATCTGTAGCTTCCCTGGGGAAACTGAGGCTCGGAAGGAGTGGGAACTCACTGTCCATGGCAGGCCCATGAGCCTACCCGCCACAGGACACTCACCTGGGCCCGCCCTCCTGGGGGTTTTCTCTCCTGTTCCCCCCACCCTAACTCCAGTCCTGCGCCATGCTGCAGTGAATCAGAGTGTCCAGAGCCCTCCTCCCCACCCCACCAGGGTACCTGCAGTTTGCAATCCCTTACCTGTAGTTTGTAAAACCCTTTCTCAGACCCTCCCCCACACAGGTATCACTGAGAGTCTTACTAGGGACTCAGAGACCCAGTGAGGCCAAGAGCCTCCCCCAAGTCCACAGTGAGAGGCCGCGCCAGCTAGAATGCAGAGCTCTGTGACTTGTAGATGGTGCCTGAGCCTTAGAGGGCCGTCTAGTGGTGGGCTCTCAGGCACCGTAGCAGGCTGAGGGCGTGAGCTGGATGCACCTGCCCCTGAAGTCCACTGGGAAGCAAGTGGTTTCTGGAAGGCCGGAGGTACCAGAGGTGGGGCGAGCCTCAACAAGATGGCTCCAACCCGGACCAGGAGAATAATGGGCGGAAGTGAGCCAGCAAAAATGAATAACCGTGACTAAGACTCCAGCTGCAAAGCCAGCCAGTACCTTGCAGCGAATCTAGCGACCCCGTGCAGCCAGTTGCCAGTAGAGGTGACAGCTGTCCCAACCAGTGATCGCTGTCCCCTACCCCCTCACAGCAGTCTCAGTGTGCCCTTTATAAACCCATCGCCCATCTTGCTGGGTGCGACTTCTCCAGCCCACAGCTATACGGACCAGAGAACCTCGCCCGGGATTGCGCTAATAAATTTTTCTTGGCTCATTTGTTGCTGTTTCGCCTGGTTTGGTTTCGTTTACCTTATAGTCTCCAGCAGGGCCCCTCCGGCTGGGGCTGAGTCACTGCCTTTCCTACTCAGGGGGGCATTTTCTGGGCAGCCCTTCAGCAAGTTCCATTGTCTGCACAGGTGTCTGAAATGACTGGTCAGACCAGAAGAGGACCAGCTCACTCCTGGTGTGAATATTCACACACACCCGTTCTCCCGAGCCCTCCTCTACAGGGCTGCGCCAGAATCCACAACAGCTTTACACTAGTTGGGGAAGATGCCCCTTCTCCAGGCGACATGCAGCCTGCCAGAGTACATGCTTGGGGGAATGGGGAGAGACCTCTCAACCTGGTCAACCATACTCAGTGAACCCAGAAACTCCCTACAAACTTGCCTGGAAAAGGGGCTCAGAGAAGGGAAACCATACCTCTGAGAGCACTCAGTGAGTGGGGACTGACAGTGGGATGGTGCCCAGGGACATCTGTCAACCTGCATCAGAGTGGACACCGGTGGAGAACACGCAAAGGAATGGATATGTTCCCACCTTGACTTGGGGAAGGACTCACAGCCTCCGTCTTGCACTGCCACCTGCCCCAGAGGTTCCCTCATTCCCACACTTTTCCAGGTTCTCAGAGACCAGACTTGGACTGCCTGCAAAATTCCTGCATGGGAGCCGGGCTCAGTGGCTCAGTCTGTAATCCCACGCTTTGGGAGGCTGAGGTGAGTGGAT